ATACCATGGTGAATCAGGGATTCTTTGGGGGGATTTGGTGCAGCCTCCTTCATTTACAAGGATCTCTGCCAGCAACACACCATAAACTTGGCATGCAGCTCCTCCTCATTACCCTGGCCTTCCTTTTGAAGCCAAGCTTGACAGCTGAGGAAGTCAGAAGGAGAAATCAATGAGGAGGTTCATCTGGCATCAGAGAGGTCAGCAGACCTACAGAGCAAGGTGTATTGCCTCAGCTTTGTGGTTTTTTTCAGGGTAATACCATCCCACCTACTCCAACACTCTTGGGATTCAGCTGAGAGCTCTCAGCTTCAGCTGAAGGGCAGGAAAAGGTGTCTGCATCTGCTTTAGCAGTAGCTAGCTAAATAGGTAAAAGCTCAAAAGGCATTGAAGCTTTGGTCACCATTGCCAAGTTTCCACATGTTTAGAACATTGAGTGCTCCTGTAAACAAGATCTCAGCCCACACCCTCTCCCTGTGTAGGTGGCCACTGAGGTTTCACTTAGAGCACTGTACCCGCCTGTGTGTAACCAAGGCAGTGACTGACCTACTGACTCTGGGAACTAGGCTCTAATGGTCAAGCCTTGTTACATGGCTGGCAAGGCTGGAAAATGCTAGAGTGTCTCAGAGCTTCCTGGACAAGCTGCTGTGATGTGAAATATTTCCTGCTCCTGGAGCAGAGGAGTCCCCTAAAGGCAACTGAATAAAAGAAGTAGCACAGCCTGGAGATGAGAGGAAGTGGCCTCTCCTTTTAGGTTAAATGAGCTCTGAGACTGGTGGCTGTTCTGACTTGTTTTGCAGGGGACTGAAACTCATGCTGGGCAGGGCTTGGGGTACCTGGCTCCTATGAAGTCTTCTGGAGGTTTGGAGAGTGATGCAGGTGGAGGTAACCTGTGGGTCAGAGGTGGCTCATACGTGTTGAAAAAATACAACCAAGCCTGGCAGCTGAGTTGTGCCAGGGCAGCACAGCAGTCACAGTGAGGTGTCTCCATCCTCCAAGCAAAAACCATTGTCTGACAGGACTCCGTATTTTTGTTGCCTGGGCAGGCTGTTTGTGAGGATGTGTAATCTTTGGACTCACCCTTAAACAAGAGGATGAGAAGAATGAAGAATGTGTCATGATCATCAAATGGAGCTGAATTTATGTGGCAGTAAGACTTCTCTGGCAGTAAGACTCTGTGTTAGGAAATGGAATGGATCTGCTTAGGGTATATTTAAAGAGGGAGACTGCAGTAAACCCACATCCAAGAGAATTTAAATTTTATTTAGTGTATTTCGATATATTTGTCTAATCTCTCTGACAAAAGCATAATTTGCTTTATAAATGCATTTTACACGTTTGCTTGGTTTTGTGTGCTTTTATATGTGCACTGTCAATTTTTGCAACTGAATATGAGCCTGTTTCTTTTTTCCCTTTAATGCACATTTAAAGTTTCATACAGAGTTGTTTCTGAGCATTGTCTTTCTTGTATCTCCAAACATAAAATGTCAAAGCAGCAAAATAAACAGCCTCCCTCACTCCACTCTCCAAACTAATTGAGTGAGAACTTTTCTAGTTTAAAAATTTTTAAGAAGTTATAGCAGTGGTCAGGCCTCTTCTCACTACCCCATAACTGCACAGCTCTTTGTTTCAACAAAAATCACATCAATAAATTAGAGTTACAGTGGGCCAGAATATTAAGGTTGTTAGTTTATGATCCAGTAAATTTGCATTTAAGATGGCTGTGGGATCAGAGGCACCCTGCAACCATGTGGGCTTGATAGGTTTATTCAGAACAGTTTCACTCTGACAAATCTCCTTTGCATGCACTAGAACATATGAAGTCTATTCTAATTTTTTTAATATCCCATCTCCTCCTCATAAGATTATTTTGATCCTTTCTCATCCATCTGCCACTGTGACTCTACCTGCCAGATATTGCTGTCCTGTCTTGGATAATACTGTTCAAGCCTGTCCAGCACTGAACTTGGCTGGTTGTTGTAGGAGAACCATGAGTGGTTCTGCATATCTGACTGTGATGTTGATCTTTCTAAATTTTTTTTTAACTTAGTGCTAAAACTAAGGCTTTGCTGGCTGTATGAAGCAAGGTCTAAAGCTTCACTTGATTGTTTTTTAGCATGGCTGGTGACAACTATCAACATCTGAGCCAGAAAACCTTATTTTGTATGTAATGAAAGGATGGCCAGAGCAGTTTTAAAATGCAAGGTCTTGAATGTTTTGTGTGTCAGACAGAATTCAAGAAGCTGGTGGGAAAGGGAGGAAATGAAGTAGGCAGAGTGCTTCATGTAGTACCCAAAATTGCAGAGTGTCTGCTAGTCAGTGCATGAGGTGGTTCCTGTTCCTTCAAAAATCCCAATTTTGGATCTTAAAGTAGACAAGGTATTTGGCATGCAGAAAGTCAAGGATTTGCCCACAGATTTTATATTCTTGCCTTCAGACAGCAAGGCTGAAACTTTAAGGTAAAGTCAGAATTTCATTATTTAAGATACTTTTCAATGGGAAGTAGGTGGTCACTGGCTGGTAGTAATTCAAATGTGTTGACTTGTAATTAAATATGGTTGTCACATTCATTTGGCACTATTCCTGGAGAACTGGGTGGATGCATGCTGGATGTGTACATGTGCTCACTGAAGCAGTTGTAGGGCTCAGCATACACTTGCTCAGATCCCTGATTAATGGTTGTTTTTCTCTTGTGGCCTTTGCCAAGATAAGCTTGGATGGAAAACTGAATTAAAAAGCACTTAATTTAAAAACTAATTATTAGTGAAACAAAAGCTTGTTCAAATGATCTTCTCTTTGAGCAAAATAGAAGTTTAACAAAAATATGATTTTACTCTTTCAAATTAACATGTCATTAAACAAGGGAAGCATTGTGGTTTTTTGTTTCTGGTCATCATGTCCTTCATAGTGGATACCGGAGGGAAGAGAAGCATAAGCTTTCCACATCCTGGAACGTCTCAAATTCCCATAGCTTGCTTTCAGTGGCAAGTTCAAGCCTATAGAAATATGTTCATTTAAACAAACTCATATTTACAAACTTTTGGCCATTTGGAGAAAAGTTTAGCTTCTGCAAAACTCTTGTTTCAGAGCATTGGTCTATGGCTTTTGCAATCTCAGTGTCTGCCTTGCTTCAAATCTTTGAGAAGTGAACAGTGTTTTGAATTAATATAGTTTTAAATTTTTAATGTTAATTTAATTTATGGCAAGGGTGCTTTTTTTCAAATGTAAAATTTAAAGGATTTTATTTAGAGATTCAAACAGAGATAATTCCAGCTATAAAAGTACAGACAAGTGTGATTTGTATTTAAAGGGTTCCCCTTCATTCCCTAAACCCCCACCCACCCCAGCAGTTCTTGCCTTTGCTTATTAACCTTTCCTTAAAATAAAGCCAGCCCGCTGTCATACCTGAACTATCTCCACATGAAAAGCTGCACACCTGAACGAGTTTTCTAGAAAGAAGGACTAGTCCTACATATTGCAGTGCAGTATTGGAGATAAAAAGCAAGTGGCAGGGGGGGTGTGTCTGAAAATAAGGTGAGGTTTTCTTGGGCTATCTGGTATCTCTGCAGGGCACTTAACTTGTCAGCAGGTTAGAACTGAAGCCTGTCATCAACTGCTGCTTGTGTAAGAAGGAGCATCACTCACCCCTTCTCGGGAATGCCCGGGTCACCCCGGGGTGTGCGGGAGCAACAACAAAAATGTCATTCAGTGTATTTGACTTTCTAAATTTACCTTTGTACTTTATCTGACTCCTGTGGTGTGCCGTAGTTCTTGCACTGGGGATGACTATTTGAGTGGTGTTTGCAGGGAGATTGGCACAAATCCTCTGTCAGGAGTTCGGGAATGAGAAAGGTCAGTGTTTATCTGTGTGGGTGGGTGTGTGCCCAGTGAGGAAAGGAAAACAGTGTTTTAAGAAGAAATTATAAGGATATTTTATTTTATGTGTTGAACTTCTCTGGGGGAAAATCCCAGGTGGTCTCAGTCTTAAGTGTTGTTCCCATTCTTTAACTGTTCCTTGATTTTAATTTTTTTGTTTTAATTTTTCTTTTGAGATGTCTGAATGAAATTGCCAAGTCAAAGGCCACCAGCTTACTTCAGTGCACATTAGGATTTCAGCAACCTTTAGACATGATTTAAAAGCATCTCTATCAAAGTCTACCTTGAAGATGCAATAAAATAGAAAGTGTACTCAGGTGCTGGAAACAACTTACTCATAGCTATAAAATTGGGACAGAGGATGATAAGTCTGTACCAGAAGCAAGGAATGTCTGGGGTGTATGGTATTTGGCTGTGGGTAGGGGTTGGGTGCCAGGATGCTTGAGATGCAGTTTCTTTTGAAGAGAGAACCAGGATCCTTGAACAAGGATGTTTCCCTTTGCTCACTCCATATCTCTACTCAGTGTAGAGACCTGATATGCTGCCTGGTTTTGGAAATAAGCAGGACTGCACCAATGAAATAGGCAAATTTTGTATTTTGCTGGTATCTTCAAGGAAGAGAAATGTCTTAATCCCTTCACATCACCACTTGTGTTCCTTGATTTCCCGTGCAGAATACATCCTCCAACTTTTTCCTGAGAAAGAAATTACTTTTCTCCAAATTCTCACTTCTTTAGTTACTCCCATTTGTATGCTTATGATATGTAAGAGAGGAAGATCTTACTCTTTGAAAGAGCTACCCCAGAGGAGGCTCTGGCCTCTCTCAAAGAGGCATCTGATGGTGGCTGCTGAAGCATTTGAAATGCATGCAATGGCAAGGCTAGATTTGGGAAAAAACATTGTCAAGCATCTAACACAGAAGCAAATAGGAAGAGGGAAAGAGAGCAGGCCAGACTGCTTTTGGGGGATTATTTATTAAGACTCAGATCTATGCCTTTGGATTATGAGCAGATTTGGCCCACGACACTAAGTCTGTAACACCACAGATTGGGATGCCTTTGTTTCCCAATATAAGATACAGGAATCCGCTGTGTTGCCAGCATTGTAAATGTACTACGAAATTATTTCATTCCAGAGAAGTTAAACCCCTTAGTGTCCCAGGCTGTTACATTCACTCCAACTGGCATTTGGAGCTCATACAGCACTTCATAGTGAGCTTCTCGTGGGGAATGCAGTCACAGAGAACTTAATTTTTTCAGCCATGGCTTTACTTTTTTCTAATCCTACATAAAGTGCATTAGATCTTGGGCTTTGGATCTTCATACCCTTCAGTGTGTAACTTATTATAGGGATCAGTTAGTTCAAGGAGTAGCATGTGTGGGAAATGCTGGTAGTATTAGACTTTTGTGCTTTCTTTTATGAAGTGCTTCATCTAAAAATCTATAACACTTGCAGACATCACTAGTTGTCTTAAAGCATTATGGAAACCTGACCTTACCCACCCCATCCCATCTACATTTGCACATGTATTTGGGAATCCAGTGCTTTGGTTGCTCACCTGACAAGGAATGTGGTGAGAGTCATATTTAATGAATATAAGTGTTTCTTCTGCTATGCCTGTGGTGCTTTGGTGATAAACATCCTTCCCCAGGGCTGCACAACCAGCAGTCTTTCTGACTTAACAGCTTGCTGTTGAGATAGTAGTGACACGTGGTGTGGCAGTGTTAGCCCCAAATTCTGGTTTTTGTTTTTCCCTTTACATTTAGAGAAGGATGCCTCTGCCATCCCTGCTCTCCCTGTTTTATCTCCTGCTCCCACTCTTGCTATGTGCTCTGTTCCCCACATGGCCTCCGTTATCAGCCCGGTGTCAAAGCAGCCCCAAGATCTGGGGCAGGGATGGGAGCCCTGAGTGGCTTGGAATCTGAGCAAAGGCACAAAAGCTGCTGTGCTACAGGGATGCTGCTCATTGCACCACGGCTCTGCATGGCTTCTTCCGGGCAACCTGTGGCCAGATCTAGTGCACAAGGTGTTCTCAGATATATGCATTTGCAGGAAGAGCTGCCACCCCCTTGCTGGAGACTGCCCACTCCTGCTCTTAAAGCATGCAGTAGTTTTGTGTTTGTTTTTATTTAAAGAAGACAGCAACAAAACCAACCAAACAAAAACCCGTCTTTAATGCCAAAACAATTTTCTGTTCTCACTGCAAAAAAAAATTGAAAGAGGGGAGAAGTTCAGTGGAAGAACTGTAGCTCATTTTCCAGAGAAGGGGATCAAATAGTATGAGTGTCCCAGCAGCAAATAGCACCGTGTTAATTGCACTCCAGAGAATTTTGCACTTAACTGTTTTCAGACATGTTTTTAATTAATGCAATATCTTACTTCTGTTGAATTCAGAATGAAATCATATCTCAAATATTGCTTGTTGCTCTCAACTTCTAACTATCTGAACTTCAGAAAACTTGCTACAGCTGTTGTGGAGCCCAACTTGTGAATCTTTAGCAGACAGGATACTTTTAATCAACCTGGTTTTTGGAGAGTGCAATGTAAGTCGGCTGCATTCTGATGCTTACTGATATTGAAGCATGTGTAGCTTCCCCTTCTTCTGAAGCATCATAAATTGTTTCCAAAATCCACGGGCCAGTTGTAGTTGCCCTACTTGAGTCAGAATAATCAGGACATGAAGATTAAATACTCTTCCCTCAGCCTACCACCCTTCTGGCGAGATGTGAAAGAGAAACCCAGACTACTTCATAGTGAAGGCATGCTAGAAGCTGCATTCATACCTAGGTAAATTCACCATTTCATTTCAGAGCATGGATTTGTTTTGCTTTGTTTTATTTTGGTTTCTTTGGGGGGTGGTTGGTTTTTTTAGGTTCCTTTGGTGATACAAGGTCGGTAGTGAAAGTGTGGATAAATATTAACTGACTGCATATGCTGCAGCACATTGTCATTAAGTGGTTCATGTGTGAAACCATGGAAGGAAGAGGCTGGAACAGAGACACTTTCTCCTATTTGATGTGAAATACCTGGCGGTGAGAGATACAATCACGAGTAATGTGTTCTTAGGGTGATTGGATACACACTATACTCTTGTTTTAATTAAGCCTTGTCTGTTGCACTTGGTGATGCTTGCAGTGGTACAAATGCCTGTTTGGCTCCTTTAACATCCAACATGTTTTGGTGAAGCAGAAATAGTCACTAAGAGGAAGCATAACTGAAGTGTTGGGTCCAGGCTAACTTGTTTCACAGGCTGCAGGAGTGGTATTGATGTAAGACTCCTGCTGGGCATACTTTCATTAGCTGAAAATGTTTGCAGATGCTGTGATCGTATGGGTCTTTCGATACCAAAAATCTTGACCAAAGTTATTTTTCTGGAGCTCATCCTGATGTTGGCCAGTTAGGTATCTTGTTGCCTCATGTTTTGTTTCTGCCATTAAAAAAAATAAATTCAGATATCTTTATAATTACAAATTTCTATCTGTCTCTGAAATAAATTGTGCCTTATTTGAATGTTTCTAGGAGGTTAATGAATAATTGACTACAGAGTAAAAGGGAAGATCCTTTTAACAGGCAATTGAATCTGGTGTGATGTATGAAAATTAATGGTTAGGCTTAGAGCTTTAAATGTGATATAAATATTTTTAATATTTGGACATGAAGATGTCCTTATTGGCAGCAATTTCAAACATAGTTATTTATTTGGAATACCTCTCAATGAATTCAGTTCCCAAAAAATGAAGCTTAGAGTTTGTGTATTTAGGACCTGCACTTGAATGTAAGGACCCTTGTTACCTTATTTGTGATTAGGTGAGGGAGAGCAAGTCTCGGTTTGTGGTGTTATCTTCTTTCTCCTTAACATTTTTTCCCTCTTTGTTGCGCTTGTGCAGATTGAAAATTCAGCTCTGAGTCTTTGTACCTTCTAGGAAGGAGGAGTGTGCAATGATTTTTAAAATAGAAAATATTTTACATCTGTTGCTTTTATAGTTGGTTTTATATGTTAGCTACTGATAAGCCAGTAATAAATCAGTGCAAGCCCTGCATGCCTACACTTTTCCTTCTTTGAACACAGCTTGGATATTTTTTGCTCCCTGCTCTCCTCTGTGTGGTGAACTGCACAGGGAGTTTTCCTGTGTTGCAGAAGGATTTGGAAATGAAGTTACTGCCACACTTCAGATCTTAATCTTCCTTGCTGTTTGCAGGTGATTCCTTGCCAGTCGGCTGGGTCAATATTAAAACCAAGCAAGGATGCCTAAAACCAGGAGACTCCATCTATATTAGCATCTCCAATTTCTCATATCTGGAGTTCCAAAATTGGCTATAAATTGAGTTCCCTTAAAGGGAGGAAGGTCACAAGTGACAAGCCTCAGCCATCTCCAGCACTGCCAGCCTGGGGCAAGGCAGGGGCTGATGATTTGCTTTGTTCCATCTTTGTTTACCAGTGTTTTGTCTTCTCCTCTTAGGGACTTGCATACCCCTTTCTGCCAGTCATGAGTGAATATATTAATGTGGCTAAGTTGTCCCTGGGTGGTGGTGGTATTGTTGTTATTGTATTGCTGTGTTGTTCTCAATTCTACACCTCCTCAAAAAATTAGAATTTTCTTTTCTGCTTTGATTTTTGTTTGTGTAATTATGCAGAAACTTGGCTGGTGATACCAGGACAGCAATGGGGATGGCAGCCTGACAGTAACTAGCTCAGAAATTCTGTCTTTGAACTTCTCGGCCCTTCTGTATTCATTTGGTTCCGTTTCAAAGGTGGTCTGACTTTTAGTTGACTTTATTTTAATCAAATGCTTGTAAGCACAAGGCTGTGTTGTGGATGTGTTATTTATAGCCCTATAGCAGTCAGGTGCAAAGTGATCTGAGCAACAGCTTCTGGTCAGGTTAAAAGAAAAACCACCTCAGGATGAAGGTTATACAAATGACTTAACTCTATGTAGACAAAGGTGCAGGTGTGTGATGTCTGAATTTTGGGGTGAGGGAAACTCATTACTGGTAATGAAACTGTTGGAAGCCGGTTGTGTGTTGTTGGAGTACCCATTCTCTGTATTTACTGGCAATTTACCCCTGGGCAGCGAATACTGGAAAATCCAAGCAGGGAGGTGAGGGCAGGGCAGTGAGCTTTACTGTATGACAGCACATCTCGGTGCCCTGGGAGCTGAGAGTCTCTTGCTGCCGAGTGAAACAGAGGGCAAAAGCTAATTAGCTGCTTTGCAATTTTTTTCTTCATAAGAAGGTAATTTTTTATTTCACCACCAGAGCATTGTTTCTGCACAGTGGGTGGAAGAGGCAGAGAGAGCAAAATAACAGGACCCTTCCCACTTGCTGCTCTGGGATAAGGTGATACCTGTGCCCTCTCCCAGCACTGTGTGACACTGTACACAAAGCCGGGCAGGTTCTGTGTTGCTCGGGCTGCTCCTACATTTGTGATTTCTAATGCAAATATCTGGCACCTCACTCATCTGGAGCAAGTCAGGGTGTTATGTCACTCAACCTTTGTGAATGCCTGACATTCCCTCTCCTTTGGGCAAGAGCTGGAAAGGAAGTCGGTTTATTTAGAAAAGGGATTTTTTTTGTTTACTTCTGTCTATTCATACCCTTGGTAGAAAAGATATTCCTGCTTCCGTATGAGACATCTGGCTAAATTATAAATGTGAGGAAGTGGCTGAAGAAATGGCTTAACTGAATTGTTATTTAGTTGTTCATTTTGTAGCTCTGATTTCTAAATTCTGTATTTTATTGTGACATAGCCATATATAGCCTCCTATTGCTGTTAAAATAAGCAAGTAGTGATAATAACAGAAGGCCTCATTCTTAAAAACCTGAGCCTAAATTTGGTATTCTGCATTGAGGCAGGCAGTGCTGAAGGAAGGTGCTTCCCCATGCAAAGCCCTCAGGGACCACCTGGAGCAGACCGAGTGCTCTGTGGTTCCAGCCTGAATTACAAATTTTCCAGTTCCTCTGGCTCTGGCCCTGTTTTTAGATGAGAAAACAGTGATTAAACCTTCCTTATGTCTGGGAATGTCATGCAAGTGGATAGGGATGTGTAAAGAGATCTGCTTACTGTACAGTGCCAGACAGCCTTGTGCAGCAGCTTTCTCTAGAGGTCTGGAGAAATTCTAATTTTGATTAGAAACATCACTCAGCAAGACAGGGGAGCAGTTTTTGTCTTCTCGGCTTCTGTAAACATATTAAAATGTAAGTGAACATTAATTCTATTTTTTCAAATTATGTGTCCACAGACTTGGTTTCATCAAGAACAGATCTTTCAGACTTAGTTATGCTTACTTCCCATGTAACCCAGAACACCTTTCGTATATAGTACTTTGGCTGGTAACTTGGTAAAATCTGCATATAAGGTTCAAGGTGGTTTACCTAATTGGACTGTGAAACTTGTTAGATAAGTTTGTAGCCAGGAATCAGTTCCTGCTTGTTCCCACAAGTATTTGAGAAAGTATTTTGTAGGTTTATGGTGTGAGTGATCTGGGAAAGGGCTCTGCCCTCCTTTCCTGGGGATGTTTTGCCCCTTGAGCCATGTGCCTGGTGCTGCTCTGGAGTCGTGGAGAGTGTTTCGTGGGAAATAGTCAAGCCCACAAGACATTCCTGTGTTGCTTATGCCAGGAGGAGCACATGCTCACAGTGTGCCCAGGTTTGCTGTGTGCCTGCAGGCACTGGGACCTGCCCTGGGAGGTGGTGGTGTCTGAGCCCTGTGTGGGGGTGCTGAAGATCCACTGTCACGCCAGCAAAGGCAGGATCAGCCACAAAGGCTTTTTTCCTCCCATCTCTCAGCATTTTTCTCATGGATAGGAATTCTCATGTAGTTTGCCACATTCTTTTATGTACTTAGGAAGCAAACTGGTGTTTGAGTTGAAAATTGTATCTCAACTCCTGTACTTTTCCAGTTCGGCCCCTTTTTATCCCCTTGCTGGCTCTGCAAGAAGACACAAAGGAAAATTTAGAAACAGTAACTGAATTATTTCTGTTGTGTCAAGCAATGGAATGCCTTATTCAAAGCTGAGTGTGGGAAGGAAATCTGATATGATGAGCCAGGGGCAATCCTCCTGTTAATTATCTCACTCCCTTCCCATGACCACAATCTTCTTTCTGTTATTCTTTCTCACTCTCTCACCTTCTATACATTTTTCTCTTGCTACAAAAGGGTGGTAAATATAGGAGGTTTTTTGAAGTACCTGAAACTGTTCCCTGAGCAGGGATGATTTAGCACCACACACGATGCAACCCTTGCATAGGAAACAGCACATAAGATTCATGTTGCCATTTACATGTGATAAGCAATGTAAGTATTGATGCACAAATACAAATAATGGTGAAACTGCTTGCAGTGTGCATTTGTCTTCAAAGTCAGTAGCAGAACTTACTGCAGAGAGAACCTCCCTAAGATCCTCTGACCTTAAGAGTACAGCTTGACTGTACCTAGGTAAGGTGAAGTCTGCACCAGGCTCTGCTGGGTGATCTCCTAGACAGCATTACCTCTACCCACAGCTCTTATCTTCGGTATCACAGGTACAGCGAAGCACTTCTTAACAGGAGCTTGCATTTGAAACTCACATAGAGAAATAGTTAGCTACTGCTAAGAAAAGGTTAACAGTCATTCATTTCTCAAGGTGTGGGTATGGACATATATCTTTACAATTTTAGCTGTAGCTGTGATGTGTATAAAGTCTACTGCTGTTGTAATCAAAACAAGTGAAATCCGCTTTCATGAATTGCAGCTGGATTCTTTCCAAGGAGCTTGCTTTCCTTTTAATGTTGGCCTATTAATTAGCTCAGCAATTCATTCTAGTTTTATTTGGAGCAACTCAGCAAGTGTTGCCATATCTGAACTCTTCTGTAAGTGGCAAAAGTTTTCTTGAAAGAGATGTTTCACCGCAGAAAAGTGAACATACCCATGGGAGGATGACTTCTGCTCAGGATGACCCATCTATTCCCGGCCTACTTGCCAGCTTCCATGTTAAGAAGATGTGAAGAAACATAGTCTTTCTCTTTTCCAAAGTTATTACAAAGCAATAGGAAGTTTTCCATCCATTCAGGAAAAAACATTTGTTTCTTACCCCAGTTTTAACAGGATATATTAGTATTTGAACCTGATGAAGCAACATATTCATCTTGGCTGTGAGACACTCTCGAATAAAGTCACACATTTTTCAAGGTTGATTCTGGATAAACTTTGAATCCCAGTGGATATTTCTGGGTGGTCTGGTTTGGTACTGCACAGACATCCTTAGCACAGCAATTTACATGCAAATATGAGATGCTGGAGGCATTGTAATGCCAATTCCCTTTTTATGGTTCTTCACTGTCTAATCAGGTTTTACCAAATCAAAGAATTCTGGTACTTAACAGGAAAAAAACTTCCACAAAAGCTTTTGTCTGGTATTTGTAAAGATAGCAAGGAAGAAATTTAAGGAATGTTTGAGCTTTGGCCATTATGAGGTCATTTTATGTTGTATGTGACAACAGCATGTGAGGGATGTTCCACAATGCTCACCTCTGTGTGTGTGCACCTACAGGTACTAGCCTGCTGAGTTACCCTTGGCTTGAAACAGAGATGTGCTTGGAGAGGGCTGGAAAGGGAGTGCTCTTTCCCTGGCAAGTGTTGTGCACTGTCACTGAGCCCGTTGGATTACAGCCTTCCCTGCAGAACCACAAACCAGCCACAAGCAGAGCCCACCGTACAGAGCATTCCATGTGCACAGAGCAGTGGAAAGTGTTCTCTGCAGCATAGAGATCATGCCTTTAACATAAGGAATAAAAGCCTGTAACCAAATACTTAAGACTTGATTTTGAATGAAAAATTGAATTTTCTTTGCTTCAGAAAGCAGATTTTTTTCCCAAGGTTGGATGTCATATCTTTTTCACTTTAAAATCAATTGACCAAAAGGAAATCTTCATTGGTCTTTCCTCTTTTTTCCGTAGAATATATTTTTTTCTTTCCTTGTGGGACTGTTACTTGGAAGATAAAAGCCCATTGGGAAATGGAAGAGGAAAAACAGTATCTGTACTACTTGTGACTGTGCACCATCTGCTTTTATATCGGGAGCAGTTTTCTCACTATCTCTGCATTACCACAGCCTCATTTTTCTTTTTGTGTCCTCATGGGCTTAAAATCAGAGGGCATCTGACCAGAGGCTGTCCTGCCTGTTCTTATTCAGGCACAGTGGTTGTGTGCAGTGTTTGGCATGGTTCTTTTCTGTTGGGTGGGTGTCCCAATTCTGTCTGCCTGCCTTTGCCTTCCCCAGACCTGTGTCAGTGTTAATGCTGAACCCTGGAGACAGAGAATTATTAATGCAAAAGTCACCTCTTAGTCTGAGTGGCACCTCCTTCTCTAGTGAATGCATGTGTTGCTTAAAGCACTCACAACATAGCAGCTCGTTGGCTCTGCATCCCTGCAGTTCCCCTTTCACGGTGCTCATTAAATATCTATCCAGACTGCGTGGCATAAATCTTTAAAAACGAGGGTGCCCTGGGGGCCAAATGTGTGACAGCCTTTCACAAAAAGGCTCACTAATTGCTTTTGATTAAATCGCCTGCCCTTCTGCTGGCCCTCGGTGCCCGCTTTCAGCCAGCGCTGCGCTGTTCCGGGCTCTGTCCGACAGGGTGATGCCACCTGAGCAATTTAGGTCCCCTGAGACGGGATGGGTTATTCAGAGCATCACTCTAATTCCCACTGATTGCTTCTGACATCACAGAGGCATCAGGGGAGGAAAAGGAGCGTGGGGCTTTTGCCTTTACAGTTACATGTATACACATATCCATAAATATGTGTGTATGTTTATATATATGCACATGTGTATGGAGTAACAATTGTATTTGCAAGAGTTTAATAAACAGCATCCAATGTTTGCTTAGACTCTGTGCATGTAAGGCCATGGAAGGCTTGTTATGAAGTTGACACAAGTGAAAGGAGCAAGGTGCTTTCTGGAGGTTGTGCCTCTGGATGTGATGTGCTTCAGACAAGCTGTCTCCCTTTGATCTGAGGGAGTGGGTGCAAGGCAGGCAGAGCTTTATTACGACCTAAAAAGCACCAAGTACATTTCTTTATCCTCCATCTAGTTTTCTTCCTTGCTTGTCTTTCCTGTTTGATAAGCTAGGCTGCAACTCATTCAAGTCTTCCATGTCAAATTCTTGTTAGCAATGTGCACTTCTGCTGACAATGTGCTCAAATCCAGGGCTCAGTGCATCTATTCACTCATCCAACAGCATGATGGTAATGGTGAAAAAATCCTCCTTGGAGGAGCACCTCATGTGGGATCACTGCTTGCAGAGAGAGGGGCTGCCCTGCTGTCTCAGTGAGCTGGGAAGCGTTTAATAGACATGAAACAGAGTGTTAGGCTGTTACTTCTTTGTTCCTGCTTCTTTGAGGACCATTATCCATCTGAAGGTTGCAAACTGAGCTTTTGAAACAGCTGCTGTTGGAATACTGTTTGCCAGTTAGTAAATTAAGAGATGTGCAGATTTCCAGCTATTGAATTTCTTCTCTGTTCTTATTTTAAGTAGCCACAATATTGTTAAAAATTCGCTAACAAATACAGATGCAGATCCCTTTCAACTAAAGCATCAAAGAAAATTAGCTCCTCTGATACATCTCACATCAGTTTTTGTTTCAGCTCCTCTCATATACTCCTGTCAAAAAGATGTCAGTAATGATTTAGATCCTGCTAAGAGAAAACACACCAGCTGTTGTGAATAGCAGAGGTGTTAGGTTTGCAAAGCATTGCTGTGACCAATTGTGCACTTCCTTTAGAGAAAGCCACCTTTTTGGAACAAGAGAGAGTCCCATATATTTCTGTACAATCTTCATTTTTGCAAAAATAAACAAATATTTATATGGGTTTGGAGAGTATCTTAAGGGGAGTAGGAAATTTTAGACTGGAGGTGGGTGAGAATTTTTTTAAAGATGGCAATTAACATGTATAAAAATGTATGTCATGATAAAGCTTTTTAATCACTTTTTAATTGCATTTCAATTAAGTCATCTTTATACTGAAATTAGTGTGTTCTGTATCTACCCATTTCTCATGCTCTGTCACTGCTGTTGAGGTTTCCAGGGGCATTCTCCTTGTGTTGTTTCATAATGCTGTTATTCACATGCAGGAACTGTCACCAAAAGTCAGTGTTGGCTGGGAGCTGCAGAGATGCTGCTGCTGCCTTCCTCTGGAAGTAGGATAGATGGCAATTGCAGTAACTCAACTCAAACGTGGTTTAACATTTCTTTGGGTTTATTGCTTTGTGAGTGGCAGGCAGCGTGGTGTGTTAAAGGTTGCTTATGCAGTCAGCCGTCTGTTTTGTAAGATGTTTGTCTTGTGCAATGTAAAACTTGGCAAATCCAAATTCCGTGGAATGAACGGAGGGAGGAATGACACACGCTTCTTTCTCTGCCTCTGATGCTCCTTGGGAGACAGCTTGCATGCAGGCCATGGTTGCAGACATCTCTGCATCCCACACACTGGTCAGGCAGCCTCTGCTCAAGGTCTCCTGTCCCTGGAGGAGCCGAGGTCAGCCTTGCCTTGCCCTGCCCTGCTCTGCTGCAAATCCATTGTGCCTGGGAACAACACAGCTCCTGCAACCGAGTTAATGAGGATTGAGTAAACACCCTGCATTGAATCCAACCTGGCTCCATGCTTGTGGTCCAAACTCTCCACCTGTGGGTAGCTACAGACTGTTTGCAACTCGGAGGAGAGTTCCTCCTAAAATACCCTGACACAGCTGAGCAGTACCAGGCCTGGAACAGGGATGGTGTGTTACTCATTTGTGCCTTACAGGAGCAAGTCAGGCATGTGGAAAGTAAAGAGAAGGAAGGCTGCACCTTGTGTTTTAGTTGGATTTTGCATGAGAGGTGTAGCTATATTTACTTTTTTCATGCTGTGCCTCTCGATGATGCTCCATAGTGTATGTAAAGGGTATTTGGCCTAGCATCAGTTTTGGCACTATCCTGGTCTTTGTATACCAAATGATCATCTGATCTAGTTTTGATAAGAAAGAAATCTGTTCTGATTAGATATTTCCCTATCAAGATAGCTCCATCCAGGCTATCTATTGAGGTCAGAAATTAAGTGTACTGCTGCACATCTGGTGAGGTGTCATGCTGGCTGCCTGCCCTGGTGCCAGCCTGACAGCTCTGTCAGCTCAGCTTATGTCAGTGCTCAGGCAACTGATTTGACACATATTAAATGTGTTAATTAAATGGTGGGCTAGCATGTGTTTAAAAGAATCCACACCAAATTGGTGATGTGTAGAAAAGTACCTTTGAAGGAGCACCCCTGTCACTTCACAAGTGTATTTTAGAGTAACTCCTGTCCTGATGTGCTGTTGGGGGAAAATAATACTATTACTCGGCCATTGGAGGTTCAGTCTA